CCCCCCCCCACGACAGCGTGGTTAGGATTTCAGGCTAGGCACTTGGGGACCCCCTTCCCGGGCTTCAAATCTCTGCTCGGCAAGGGAACTCATTGGGTGACCTTGGACCAGTGTTTGCCTGATGGGTGAGCGTTAGGCCGTGGCTCAGTGGTAGAGCATCTGCTTGGCATGCAGAAGGTCCCAGGTTCCATCCCCACCATCCCCAGTTAAAAGTGTCAAGCAATAGGTGACGTGAAAGACCTCTGCCTGAGGCACTGCAGAGCTGCTGTCAGTCTGAGTTGACAATACTGACCTTGGTAGACTGAGGGCTGGATTCAGTAGAACAGAACAGAGAACCTTTATTTGGCATACCATAGATAAATCAAACAGGGGAGAGTTTAAGGGTAGGTACAAAGAACAACATCAATCAAAATTCCCAATATCTCTAAAGCGCAAAACAATCCTAACATGGTTTACAAGATTTACAGGGTATTACTCTTGACTTCCATACATAAGTCAAAAATTCTGCGACAGATAGTGTTGTTGCTGGACTCTTGTCTGCTAGGAAAAAAGATAAGTCCCTATCCAGAAAGTCTCTCTGCATAGGGAAGAGAGGACGAATCAAGATATTGCGCATAGCGGAATATTTAGGACAGCGAAAAAGAATGTGGGTAACAGAATCGGGTTCCCCAAGATTACAGTTGCAGAGTCTATCCTTATACGGGACACCCCGGATTCAGTAGAAGGCAGCGATGTGTGAGAGTTCCAATTTTGGGAAGGGTCATGGCTCAGTGGTACAGCATCTTCTTGGCATGCAGAAGGTCCCAGGTTTGATCCCCATCATCTCTGCCTGAGCCCCTGGGGAGCTGCTGCCCATTTGAGTAGACAATCCTGACCTCGATGGACCAAGGCTCAGATTCAGTAGAAGGCAGCAATTTGTGAGAGTTCTGTTAGTGAGAAGGGTCACGGCTCAGTGGTAGAGCATCTGCTTGGCATGCAGAAGGTCCCAGGTTCAAGCCCTGTCATCTCCAGTTAAAAGGATCAGGCAATAACTGACATGAAAGGTCTCTGCCTGAGTCCTCTGGAGAGCTGCTGCTCCTCTGAGTTGACAATCCTGACCTTGATGGACCAAGGGTCGGATTCAGTAGAAGGCAGCTATGTGTGAGAGTTCCATTCATGGGAAGAGTCATGGCTCAGTGGTGGAGCACCTGCTAGGCATGCAGAAGGTTGCAGGTCCAAATCCCTGGCATCTCCAGTTAAAAGGACCAGGCAGTCGGTGATGGGAAAGACGTCTGCCTGAGACCCCTGGAGAGCCGCTGCCAGTCTTGAGTTGACAGTACTGACCTTGATGGACCAAGGGTGTGATTCAGTATAAGTCAGTTTCATGTCTTTTGTCCATTTCATGGAGTGAGCTCTGAGTCATGAAAACTTGTGCTGGAATAAAACTTGTGTGTCTTCAAGATGCCATCTGGGCTCCTTACTTTTTCCTAGCCCAGTATACCTCAGGGGGCTGCTTGGAGGAGGGAAGGACTCTGTGTGCTGGCCTGAGCTCTTTGGAAGAAGAGTGGAATAAAATGCTGTTAGAAACATGGAGCTGGAAGGGGACCTCAAGGATCATCTAGGCCCTAGGTTCTACGCCAACCCCCTGCACAATGCAGGAAATTCACAATGACGCCCTCCCCCAGTGACCCCTGCTCTGTGCCCAGAGGAAGGCAAAAAAACCTCCAGCATCCCTGGCCAATCTGGCCTGGAGGAAACTTCCTTCCTGACCCCAAAGTGATGATTGGCGTGTAAGAAAGGGCCATGAGAGTGGAGCATTGGCTCAACCCTTCCCGCTCTCGCTCATGGTCTGCCTAAGTGTTCTGGACATTCTTCTTTGTCACACCGAAATCTTCCATCTGTACGAATCTGATGTAGCCCAAATGCTTTAATCTCCCCAACCACGTTCCTTGCTACAGACCTGTGGTTCTGGTGATTTCAACGTCCATGCCGATGACGCGGCCTCCAGCCGGGCTACGGACCTAGTGTCATCCATGGCGGCGTTGGGACTCTCTCAATTCGTATCGGCTCCCACGCATCGGGCCAGTCACACGCTTGATTTGATCTTCGCAGCAGGGTTGATGGTGGATCGTATTACTGCGGAAGCAGTACCATGGTCGGACCACTATGCACTGAAGGCATATCTGAATGTTCCACCCCGACCCTGTTTAGGCGGCGAGCAGATTTTAGCTTGCCCGAGGAGCCAAATGGATCCAGTGCGGCTTCAGATGGCTCTACGGGATCCGAGGTCCCCTGGTTGTTGGTTGGATGAGCTTGTGGAGGATTGGTATTGCCGACTCTCCGCAGCCATCGACGAAATCGCTCCCAGGCGCCCTCTCCGCACTCACTCTAGGCTGGCGCCCTGGTATACCCAGGAGCTACGGCTGATGAAGCGAGAGCTGAGATGGTTAGAGAGATGGTGGTGCCGTGCTCGTGACGAGGCATCAAGAGCATTCTATAGGACATTTATGAGATCCTATGAGATGGTAGTCAAGGCCGCAAAGAGAGGATTCTATGCGACCAGGATTGCATCTGCGAACTCGCGCCCAGCCCAATTATTTAGAACAATTTGGTCTTTAACGGCTCTGCCACAGGGCAGGCAAAATGCTAGGGAATTGGATATTGGCCGCGAGGCATTTGCGAGCTATTTCGCAGATAAAGTCTTGGCACTCTGCCGCGACCTCCCTGCCACAGTTGAGACAGTGAGTGAACTTGAGGCCCCTTGCACATCTTCGGTTCTGGGTTTAGAGTGCTTCAGCCTGCTCAGCCTGGAGGGAGTTGACAGATTGCTTGCATCAGTGCGCCCAACCACATGCAACCTTGATCCGTGCCCCTCCTGGCTCATCAAAGCGGGTCATGAGGGGTTGTGAGGTACTCTCAGGGAGATTATCAACATGTCCCTCTTGGAGGGACGATTCCCTGAGGCTCTGACTGAGTCGGCTGAAGCTAAACCCGGCGAAGACGGAGGTCCTGGGCCTGAGTCGGGGTGGTCTGGGGTTGGGGCTCCCTCTCCTGACCTTCGATGGGGTGCCTTTGGTGCCAGCGCCGGAGGTTAGTAGTTTGGGAGTGCTCCTGGACTCCTCGCTAACCATGGAGGCCTAGGTGGCAGCCACTGCTAAGTCAGCTTTCTACCACCTTCAGCTGGCGCGGCAGTTGGTTCCCTTCCTCGACCGCGGTGACTTGGCCACAGTGATCCATGCGATGGTCACCTCGAGGTTAGACTACTGCAACACTCTCTACATGGGGCTGCCTTTGTCGCAAATCCGGAAGCTGCAGCTGGTGCAGAATGCTGCGGCCAGGCTGTTGATGGGTCTTCCTAGTCGGGACCACATCCGGCCTGTGCTGAAAGCACTGCACTGGCTACTGATAGCGTACCGGATTCGCTTCAAAGTGCTGGTTCTTACCTTTAAAGCCCTACATGGCCTGGGTCCAACATACCTAAGGGATCGCCTTTCCCTATATGTTCCCCTGCGAACACTACGGTCGGGGACGCAACATCTCCTGATGATGCCAGGCCCCAAGGAGGCCAGGCTGGCTGCTACCAGGGCCAGAGCTTTTTCGGTGGCGGCTCCTACCTGGTGGAACGAGCTCCCGGAGGAGATCCGGCCCCTGCGGGACCTTGCACAGTTCCGCAGGGCCTGCAAGACGGAGCTCTTCCACCAGGCGTTCGAGTAGGAGCCGCCACTATTGTACCATCACTATGCTACCATCATGAGCATCTGGCCCTGGGAAGAGAGACCGACAGTGTCACAAGGAACTGACAACATTGATTGGGTGTACCATCTTTGAGACGTCATCTTTATGGAAGATCATTCTGGAACATCTAGAGCACTTATTATATTGTAATATTATAGTAATGATTTTAAATGGTTTTAACGTGTTTTATGTGTTGGCTTATGCCTATTTGTGAGCCGCCCTGAGCCCACGTTTGTGGGGAGGACGGGCTATAAATTGAATTTATAAATTAAATAAATAAAAATGTCTTCAGAAAACTCCACAAGGGTGTCAAAAAGGTAAAAGTGTCTCACACAATTGCCTTTTGATAGCCAATGAACTTCAGTACGAAGCAGAAAATGTTCAAAATCTTCATTCTCAACACAGAGCTCTGGGAATAGTTGATCATTCAGAGTATGGGCTTTAATTTACTGCAGTAATAACAGTGTGTAATGACTTATGCAGGCAGTCACTGAGGTTTTTAGCAACCAGCTCTTGGAAATGAACGACACAGTGAAGGGTAAAGATACCTGGCACTGCTTTTTTCAAGTAAGCAGCGCACCCACGATAGCAACCAGTCATCGATGGTGCTCCATCAGTTGCTTAAGCAAGTATGTTAGTAAGTGAAATATTCTTGTCTTTGAAGAACTGCTCAACAACATGACATATTGACTCTACTTTAGTGTTTGTTCTTAGTTGCCTTGCAAAGAACAACTTTTGAGCCAAGCTTTCGTCTTTTATATGGTATAAAAACATAAGAGCCTTGGTGGATC